CCCGAAATTGTATGCGAAGAAGGTGGTAATGGTCCTCCAAATAAAATGCCTATCGACGTTTCCCCACAACCTTTTTCAATCGCAGACTCTACATACCCGTCCACATCCAATCCTGGCTCGAATCCGCGTCCATCAAGCCCTATCCACAGAAATCTATCATCATACGCGGACGAGGATTTCGACATCCCTCCTTTGTTCGATGATTCCACATACGCTGTCTCTGATATCCCAGATTTGGATGGTTCGGACGACGATGACAACCTCTTCGTTGGTAAAAAGTATAAGACCAAAGCGGACTGCCAGATTGCAATGGCCGTGTACGCGATAAAAAAGATGTTTTGTTTCAGACAAACACGGTCAAACAGGAGGAAATTTATACTTTTATGTACAGATCCCAAATGTTGCTGGCGGATCCGGGCTGGGCAGATTGGTCATACGGGGTATTTCGAACTTAAAATGGTGGACCTGGAACATACATGCGCCTACGAAACAAAACAAGACTTCCACAGACAAGCTACTTCACGAATTATAGCTTCTGTATTAAAATCCAAATACAGTGATCCAGCAAGTGGCCCAAACGCTTCCGCGGTTCAACAACTGGTTCTACAGGAACTACGAGTTTCTGCATCGTGGATGAAATGCTACCGCGCCAAGGGACAAGCTCTTGCTACCTTCTGTGGACACGACCAGGATTCCTACTTGCGGCTTCCTGCCTACCTTCATATGCTAAAGCTTGCCAATCCCAACACAGTAACTGCGTTAGAAACCGATACATATAAAGATGGTTTGCTGAGATTCCGCTATGTCTTCATTGCTTTTGGGGCATCAATTTTAGGATTTCGTCGCCTACGTCGGGTTCTGATCGTAGATGGCACACATTTATGGGGCAATTTCAAAGGAGTTCTGCTAACGGCTTGTGGGCAAGATGCCAATTTCCAAGTCTTTCCCGACATGGTTTTTTATGAAAGTGGAACATTTACTATCTGACAGTTCAAATCTGGCTATCATCTCCGATCGTGCTGATTCAATTTACACAGCAAAAGAAAGGGTTTTTCCTAAGGCACACCACGGTGCCTGCATTGTTCATCTTCAGCGCAACATCAAGTCGAGATTTAAGAACAAGGGCCTGGCCACACTTCTTTCAAATGCAGCTTACGCCTATAGGCAAGGCAATTTTCGCGATGCGTTTGACAAAATACGGGACTGTAGTCCTCAGTGTGCCGCATACCTGGAAACCGTTGGTCATGCCCATTGGTCACGCTATTATTTTAGGGGTGAACGATTCAACATCATGACTAGTAACGCTGCAGAGCAACTTAATAATGCTTTGAAGAAAGGCTGAGCCTCACCCATTGTCGAGCTGCTTGTTTTCATCCAGAGGATGATGTCTCGTTGGTTTTGTGCACGCCGGAATAAAGCGGCCAAATGGGAAGGTCTATCAACACCTGAAGTTGACAAATTGATAACTAAGCACAAAGCAGAAGGCACCTTCAGCAAAATAAACCACTTATCCAATTGGAGTTGCGAGGTAATTGGTTGTTTGAGAGAAAAGAATCGCGTTATGGTCCACGATAAGAAATGCAGTTGTAAAGTTTATGATCGCCTACAGATACCTTGTAGCCACGCATTGATAGCTGCGGACAGTTTGGGATTGCCTTATTCATCTCTGCTATCTGACTACTACAAAACATCCACCTGGGCAGCCACCTACAAGGAAGTAATTAACCCTGAAGGAGATCCTGACGATGCCGATCTCCCTCAATCTATTGTTGACATGGTCTTACTACCTCCTAAATCTAAAAGACCTTCAGGCAGGCCTACAGGAAAAAGAATTCCTTCAAAAGGAGAGTTACGGGTAAGTCGCCATTTGTTTTTTGTACATACTACACTATATATTTGTTTGTTTCTAATGGTAACTTTATCTGCATATGAAGCCAAACCGGATCAAGAAAACAGTTCAGAACAAGTGTGGACGATGCCACCAGAGTGGGCATAACCGCATCAGCTGTACAAATCCACTATGAGGGGCTAGTTTAAGACTCCCTTGCTTTATGGATATCCATGTCCTTCTTTTGTTTATGGTTTGCTATAGCCATCTACACTTTTGTAATATATTATAATTTCGAATTATGTAAACCTAACTTTAAATGCACCAATCCTTTTTTGATTTCTCTTCCATTAGCGATCCCCCCTAAAAAGTGATCGGAACTAGACCGAATACAGATGTTAGTCACCACCGTCATACCCTTGCACGCGGAAAGTATTGTTTTACCTACATTAACAACTCCCCCTGTTATATGGACCAAGAATTACAGACAATATACATCACCATCGAACTCTTTTAATCACCATCGAACCCTTTTTCTATTTTCTATATAACAACACTGATACATCTAATGGATACTATTATAACACCTGTCATATTGTGGAAATTTAACTCCCTTGCCCATTTTGGCCATGTTGCTATCCCCTAAACAATATAGTTATCCACGCAATAGATATCAGGTTATAGTTATCCACGTAATAATTACCAGGAAAAGGAGTCCACACTGCTCTGGCCAAGGTTTGGTTCCACAAAACGCAGAGACATTACATTCATATATGTACCATAAAAGACTTTCACATAATATGATCTATTCACTAGTTGTTATAGTACCATCCATGCCGATCCTATCGATTATGAATCACCATCCATTATGTTTGCGCATTATGTACCACAACAGATGGTAAGAGTAAAGGAACGCCCAAAATTGGTTTTCGAAGTACTCTGTATCTACAATCCGAATGAAATCCGAATGAAATTTTCGAAGTACTCTGTATCTACAATCCGAATGAAATTGGTTTGCGCACTGCATTTCAGCCATCTACAATCCGAATGAAATCTTCGGTCTCAATCTAACAATAGCTATTTCTCGAACCTAACTAAATTTCGATCCCGATCCCCATTTCAGACGCCAAAATTTACACTGTGCTACCTTGTTCCTTCTGTGCTTCGAAATCAGATATCATAACGCGAGCCCAGATTCAGCGCTGGCGTTTCCATCAGACCGCCGTAGCTTTGACCTTGATACAAATTCAAATCGTGATTGAGATGACAATTTGAATATCAGAATATAGAGGGCAAAGCTTCCCGGAGTGTTAGAGAACGTAATGTCAACGATGTATCTCGGTTAAGTTAGACTCGGTTTATAACTCGGTTTATTTTCGGAAAATATAAACCAAGTTCCTCTCTTATATGGTAAGGGCAACGATGTTATTTCCACACCCAAATCTATAATAAAGTGCTGCTTTAAACTAAATTGTTGTGGAGTGTAAATACAAACTCATAAAGTGCCTCAGAGTGTAACTGTCTCTATATGAAAAAATAAATGTGTGAGAAAAAAAAAACAAAAAAAAAACTGGAGAGACAGAGAGAAGAGGCGTGTGGGTTGTGGGTTGTGGGAGGGAATGCTCTTTTGGTGATTGACAGTGTCAGAAGAAAATAAAAGGAAGAGGAAGCAGACTTGACGCTAAGTTCAGGTTTTTCTTATTTTGCGAATATTTTTGTATTTTTTTTAACTTTGTTTTGTTTGTTTTTGCATTTAATGTCTTCTTGTCATAAGACTTCTTTTGCTCAAAAGAATATGCAGACTGAGAGAGGGTGAGGCAGAGTTTATCCAGTGAGCTTTCTGATTGTCAAGGGATGGAAGATGATAATATAAAGCAGATACTCGAAATTTGATGATGATAATATTAAACAGGAGAAAAATTAAAATTCTAAAAAAAAAAAAATTCTAAGGCAGATGGAGATAGGCAGAGTCCAAAGAAAACCTTGATCAATTAAGCGATTTTATGCTTTTGTCACAGAGGTTTCTCATGTTCTTGACTAAAGTCAGTTGACATATTTGATGTTTCTTTAATCTTTTAAGGTCTTGATTTTGATGTGTAATGAAATATGTCAACTGACTTTGAGTCTATTTTCTTACACCATTTTTTTTATAAAATCGACTTCTAGTTTGATTATAAAATATGCGGCATACACAAACAGAAATTGTATATTTTCGAATATAACAATTTATGTATTTTTGCTAAACTGAGTTTTATTTTGATATAATATATTCATTACGAATTACTGTTTTTGTTGCAAATCCAAAAGCTATAAATTCCGAAAATAAGTAGAGTTTCTGAAACACGTAAATAGTAATTATTCATAGATATATATAATCATGAAACGTAAAATATGTACTCATATTGTTCATATATCGTATCATGAAACGTAAAACGTGTACTCATAGAGATTTTATGATTTAAAGTAAAAGTAAATAAATAAAAAAGGTATGCTAAAAGGGGTGATGATAACCTATGAAGACAAACTGGAGAAGTCTCAGTTAAAGTATACTTTTAGACAACATCCTAGAGGGTATAATAAATCCTAACAACCTAAAACCCCTAAAATGTAACTTTAGTTACTAAAAATATATAAATATATCAATATATAAATAAAAAATATTAAAAAATACGCCTTCTCAAATTGTGAGTTTAATCGTCACGTTATATAACAGTAACAGATAGAAACAAATCACTTTGTATATTCTTACCCATTGATAGACGATGGGTAATTATACATGTGGAAGATCTTCATTTTCACTTTTTTTATTTATCATCAGGGTTTTATATTATCATTTTCTAACAACTGCTTGGGAAGACTTTCGTTAAAAAAACCACTCCATAAAACGATGAGATTTGGAATTTCAACTTTATACTTCAAATAAGTTGGAAAATCAAACATCGCTAAGCTATTGTATGATGATTAGAGAACTAGTACATAATTTGATAATTTCGATACTAATAAACATTAAATAAATACGAAATGGGAAACTAAAGTGAATCCCTAATTACTAAACTAAACGAGTGAGACATAGAGAGAAAGAGGAAAGTTATTTTTACCCAAGTCGTGATGCCACGTCATCGGGAGATGATGAAAACCAGGCTCCTCTTCTTTGAAACCCTAAATGACCAGGCTAGCGCCAACCACCGCCACGTCGGCTGACTCTGCGACCGAGCATCGTGAGACCATAACAGATGAAGCCATCACTCGGCGGTGAGAGAATCACCGGCAGGTAAGCATCGGTGTGGCAAGGAAACTTCGACTCCTTGAAATGTTTACTAAACTCTTCTCTCCCCTATTATAAAACCAATCACGAGATTACACTCAATAAAAACAATAAAATTCTTTTCCTAACTCTTCAGAAATCAAAAATGAAATTAAGAGCTTTATTTCATATTACCTCTAACACAATAAATCAACACGAAATATAAGAGTTACAATCGCTATAATTTCTTTTTAACTCTAACTCTTGATTAATCAAAACACGAAAGGACACAACTTTAACTTTAACTTAAACACTAACTCTTACTTAAATAACAAATTATTGTTCCAACTCTTAATAAATATAACACGAGAGTAAGAGTTATACTAACTTTCATTTTTTTTTCTTTTGTTAATAAGCTTTCTATTAATACTAACTGTAAGATACGGAAGAGCTAGTATAACTAACTTTCATTTCAAATTGACTGAAATTTCACAACTTAACAATTCTAAATAAGCAACAACAATTACTAAACCCAGAAAGAAAAGAGACCCAGACCTGATACTTAGCTACGGTGATTTCGCAAATCTTCCTGTTCCCAAAGTTGATCCAAGAGCTATTATCGAAATCTGTTCGAAATCTCTCTGCTGCGACTGAGCTCGTGAAGTTAACGAAAGCGTAACCCAAATTCTTGTATGACCTGTTCCAGAAATGTTAAAACAAGTTTGTGCAATAAGCATCGTCCAAAAAAAGAAAGTTAGAGCATTTACTTACACAAAATCCATCGGCAAATAAAGAAAGTCATAGGAAGAACGAGTTTGTTGTTGTTCATCAACTTCTTTGTTCTCTTTCCGACAATGATTGTCCAAAATCCTCAGAAGATCCTTTCGCCTTCGTTAAAAAAAAAAAAACCCATATTTTCTTCAGACATCCTCAAGAAGAGAAAAACACAATAAAACCAGATTTTGAGATTGAAAGCATACCCAAATATGTTTGGAATGTTTCGAATCATAACCGATGTTCTGTCACCAAGAGGAGACTCGATCTTAACTTTTTCTGAAAGAGAAAGAGATTCGAGCTTAGATTCTTCATGAGAAGGAGAAAAAGATTCAAGCTTACTTCAAGAGACACGAGCTTACCTTGTTGAAGAAAAGGAAGAGACTTCAGCTTAGGTTTTTCTGGACCAGGAACAAGCTTTGAGCAAGAAAAGTTTTGATTTTTGTGGATCCAAACCTTTGGCTTCAAGTTCAACAGCCTCGGAGGGAGACATTTGCGATTACAAAACCAGAAACGGTGTGGTTCTCTGAAATTTTCCGGTTTAGCATTAAAAGTTTTGGATGGCTCGTAGATATGGTAAGGACGAGAAGGAGGGCAGAGAAATTTGGATTTTGAGATTTCCTGAGCTGGGTATTTCGGATAAAATTCTGGGGCATTTGGGTCGAGAGCCATTGAAATGAAAAACCCTAGATAGAAGTCTGAAGTGAGAAAAGTGAAGATTAAAATAAGAGGAAGAAGTTGTGAATAAAAACAAGATAGAGAAGAAGAGAGAAGAAGCGTTGAGGTTTTGGGATGACGAGGAAAAGAAAAGTTGCAGTTTTGGTGATTGAAAATGGTCAGAAGGTAAAAGGTAGAAGAAGAAGAGCTGACACTCACTTGAGTATATTTTTTTCGATTATTTTAAATTTTTTGCATTTAATGTCTTCTTGTCCCAAGACTTCTTTTGCTAAAAAATAGTAAGCTTTTAATGGTCTATTTGATCCGGCGGCGTGATTGAGATCTTTATCCACTGGGCTATTAACGTATTGTCGAAGAGACAGACATTTATCGATTTATACAAAATAATGGGTCAATTTCAAAACAAGACAGCTTTTTTCTCCAAAGTGTTTTGCATATTGTCGGTTTCAATCTAACGAGAAGGATGTTTGAAATTTGAACGGTTCGAATGTAATTAATTTGAAACATCTCGCTAAACATGATTATATTATCAATTTTTAAATTTTTTGCAGAAGTTACAGAAATTTTGATTGAACTGTGGTGAAATGGCTGTTGGCCGCGGGTAGAAATGCTTGCCGGTTGGTTTAGGGGACATCTTGCTCTTCGCGTAAATTTTGATTGAACCGTTGGATTGCCAAGCTGTAAAGTGCGCTGCAAAGCTGGTAGTTACATCTTTAAGGTCTCCAAAATTGAGCTGGATCGGACGGTGAAAAGGTCTTAATTTGGGGGTGAACTTCTGAGGGTTTGACTCTGAACTGAAATCTGGTCTTCTGTCCATTTTGTTAAGCTTTTACCTAAGTTTCCTGAAAAGACTCTAGAAACTACAAATACTAGAAAAACATAATAAAAACACTTGAAAGCAATTAAAAAAACATAGAGAAAAGATTTTAAAACGATCCATAAAAGTGGTCAAAATACGATGTTATTAACTCCCTAGAGTTAAACTTTTGTTTGTCCCTAAACAAAGCAAAAGTCTAATCTGGTTAAGTGAAAACGAAAAATAGGGAATGCACAAATATCAAAGACATGAAATCCTAAACTGGGACCATAAATCGTACTGAGCTGAGATCTGGTCTTATGTCCATTTTGTTAAGCTTTTACCTAAGTTTCCTGAAAAAATTCTAGAAACTACAAGTACTAGAAAAACATAATAAAAACACTTGAAAGCAATAAAAAAACATAGAAAAAAGATTTTAAAACGATCCATAAAAGTGGTCAAAATACGATATTATTAACTTCCCAGAGTTAAACCTTTGTTTGTCCCCAAACAAAGCAAAAGTCTAATCAAGGAATTCGACCAACTTTAGGAAGTTTGATTGTCTCGGCAATCCAAGAAGAAAGAATGCTGGAGAAGGGTTGTGAGGCTTACTTGGCTACGATCACCACGACCGACTTGGAAAAATGATACGAGCATTGAACCAATGGACGACCCTTGGTTCGAATAGCCGGACGAGACGCAGTACAGGGAGCAAGACCCGATAGAAGACCTGACCGTTCCAAGTGGGCCGATTACACGGTCCTGTGCCAAGAAGCTATCAGTGGTCGTGTGGAGGTTATGTGCCGACCTACGGGTCAAGAATTCAGACGCTACACCAAGTGTTCAGGTCTTAACGCTGCTTACTTATTCAGTCGTTGTAGCTCAATACTTTTTTTCCTTCCACCTGGGTTTGTCCCATTGGGTTTACCGGGTGGGGTTTTAATGAGGTTAAGGGCTACGCCAAACTCATTGACCGTTGTTTGTTAGTTAGCCGTTACCGGAAATGGGAGATGGCCACCCTCATGCGGCAGCGGTTTGTTCCGGTGCATTACCACCGAGAGTTGCACACCAAGTTCAGGAGGCTTACACAAGGAACCAAATCCGTGGAGGATTATCACCAGGAAATGGAGCGATTGATGCTCAAGGCCGATGTTTTTGAACCGGAGGACGCACCAATGGTGAGATTTCTAAGCGGTCTGAGTTGGGACTTGCAAGACCGGATGGAATCGCAGGAGTACCACGACATGTCGGATATGCTACATAAGGTTATTTTAGTCGAACAACAACTCAAGCGCAAGGGCACCAACCAATACACTTATGGAACCAGCTCGCGACCATCTTTCCGAGACGATATGGTCGTCTACCCTACGCGTGCTGACAACCAATCCAAGACGGAAGCCAAACCAAGCCAGAATCCTGCGGATTACAAAGGGAAGGCCGAGGCCACCTCATCCAGAACGCGCGATATTGAATGCTTCAAGTGTCGGGGCTAGGGACATTACATCAACAAGTTTCCAAATCAGCGAGCAATGCTTATGCTCGAAACTGGGGAGATCGTGTCTGATCACGAGGAAGAGACCGAGTCTGTTTATGACGAGGAGAAGACTGAAGAGCGAGCTGTGGATGGAGAGCTTTTGGTACCCGCCGAGTTTTGGTAGCCCAAGAACGAGTCAAAGACAAAGACCAGCAGGAAAATCTATTTCATACATGGTGTCTGGTCTTAGGGAAAGTATTGATATGTTCATAATTTGCATCATTTAGGTTGTATATTTCATTCCAAATCATGTTATTTCTCATGCATATTAGGTCTTTAGGTGTTGTTTTAGGACTTAGGAGTTGCATTAGGTCCCAATGAGCCTTTGCATGTTTGGAGTGTTTATCAGGTGTATTTGGAGCTATTTGGAGTTGAAAAGGTGAAACCAGGAAGAGAAACGGTGATCAGAGCTTGAAAGATCGTGAAAATGGGTTTTTGGAGGTTCTCGGCGAATTTCACGTACCGCAGAAAGCTTTTCTCGGCGTTTTTCATGTACCGCGGGTGAACCTCTCGGCCAAAACACGTACCTGATAGACAAGAGTTTTTAGGCTCTTAGGGCTATCAATCCCCTTGTCAAAGTAGCATAAAAGAGGTTGTCAATCCAAGAATGTGGTGATAGACACTAAGCTATGTGATCAGTTTCTCAATTCAAGTAAACAGGTGAGGTTCTGATTGATTAATGACAACTAAAAACTTAAAAAAAGATTAGTGACTAAAGAAGTGATCAAACAAGAACTAAGCAAATTACAAGTGATGTGAATATGAAATGATGGAAGCATGAGATTCTAGACATGATAGTTTGCTAGGGTGCTTTGATGCTAAATCAGGAATGTTAATGACAATGATGAGACATGATTCAAGTGATTTAGAACTCTAATTTATTTTAATCCTCTCATGAAGGCATTAACCTCTACACTAATCCATTTTTAAACCAAATAATCATTTGTGAAATATAGATCAATGAGCATTAAAAAACAGTTATAAGAGATCATTCAAGCAAATAACAAAACATTATCATGCAGCAAATGCTTAAACTTCTAATACAGCTCTTTCAGGAATTTCATCAAACACTTGTGGTGCATGAAATTCTCAGAATCTAGATCACAAGTGATTTGCAGGGATCTAGCTTAGAGAACAGCTGTTTAGAGAAATGAATCAATGAATCTAGCCCTAAGCACTCATAATCTAACACCTTAGCACCCTAACCTACACATCTAGAACCTCATTAAGCTAAACTACTCACTAATCATACCAATCTCTCTTAAACCTTTGCAAGTTGAGAAGATTGGCATGATTAATGAAGAGAAATGGAGATGGAGAAGATAGATGGTGATGGGTTTGCAGCTTTAAACACAGAAATCTCTCAATCTCTCTGATTAAAACTCACAAAGGGGTGGAAAATGAGATGATGGATAATGATAGATTTCAGCTTTAAACCCTAATTACTCTCTTGATTAAACCCAGAAAATGAAGATCTCTCTTACAAAGTTCAGGTTTTTCACAAAAGAGGCAAAGAAAACAAAGAGAATAAAAGCTTGTCTCTTGGATAATGATTAAAACATATTTATAGGTAGGGTTTCTTGCTGGGCCAACCTAGGACAAACTAGATTTTGGCCCAAAAAAGGTCCACAAAAAAGTCATGAAGCGAGAATGTATCGAGGTGATTCTGGTCGGTGTGGGTGGTCGATATTTCTTCGGCGATTTGAGGCTGCTTACACCGAGACACTACACCGGCCGAATTCACCTCGGTGCGGCGTCAAGGAAAGCTTCAGGGGATCAATACCGAGCAGAATTCAGTCGGTGCAGGACGTCGATATTTCTTCGGCAACCTGGCTTCCAAAAGCCAGCCAAAAACGTCAAGGTTCCAAGGTAATACCGACCAGATTTCGGCCAGCATTCCTTCTTGGTATGAATGTGGACCGCTTGCACCAAATCCTTCATAACTCCTTGCTCACTGGCCCGAACTCCGATCTTCCACTTCCACGATCTAGATGACCTCCGTAGCCCCAAGTTTGGTGAAGGGCTCAACCCCGTGTGACATTCTTTGAGGCGCATCGCGTAAGACCTGATCGGGGCCGCGAGACGTGTGTTCCTTCCGATGGCGATATCTCCTAGTTCACGGCTCCAAATCGTCTGATTACAAGTGTTACGGAAACTAGATTCATTCCTCTTGGTTCTTGATGAAGACACCGGAGGTTGAATCGCATTGCAAGTCCTTCGTCCCACGCGATCAAAGTGAGGGTTTTGTCTGCACCAAACCATCTGTCCGAGTTGCTGTACACAGGTGAGGGTTCCTCCATGATCCCAGCTTCAAGTTGCTCCCAAAAGTCTCCAAATGACCTGAGAACACTCCAAAAATGCAGGACACTCTATGACCTAATGCAAATCCTAAACAAAGCTAGAACCAAAGACAAACTCTAACAAAACTAGCTAAATGTATGCATGAGACTCAATATTTGGACAAAAATGCAGTCCTAATCATGACAAAATATGAGTATATCAACTCCCCCACACTTGTCCTTTGCTTGTCCTCAAGCAAACAAGAACAAATGAGAGAGAGAGGTTGGATACATGGGAGTTCATATTTCTTTAAAGAGCGATAATCATCAAAAGAATTCAAAGCTCATTGTTCAAGTTACCAATTCTGGACAGCAATGCAAACCG